ATGAGACAAAGATATAGGGATGGTGTCATGTAGCTTTGTGCATCTTTGCTGTGTAATGACCCCTTGTTTCTTCCTTTTTGGTGCTTCAAGCCATCCCTATATCCCCCTTTCATTTTGAAGAAATGATTTTTACACTTGTATTACATAGAACTGCTTCTTCATTTCATGGCTTTATGCTGTTTATGCTAATCTTTATGGTAGGACCTCCGACAAAAGACAACCTCCAAATTAACACCTATTCAAATGGCCGCCGCCAAGTCCATAGCAGCAGGGCCAAAGAACTATATACCCTGACCCTGATCCCAAACCAGCACCTGGACTCTCTGCTGGACACACAGAGAGATCATAATGTTTTATATAATTACCCATCAACACGGCCCTCTACTTCCGGCCAGTGTGTGCAAGGAGGCAATGTTAGCTATGGCACCATTAAAAAGAGCAATCAGCAAACAAGAATGTATTACACCATAAAAGAATGAATGTCTGATCCATAGATGATGATAAATAATAGTGGGTAGTTCATTAGTGACTTGAAACTGATTTTGTAATGACCCAATAACAACTAACAGAAAAGCAACCTTAGTTAATGACGCAAAGAGTCGCGAATTTAATTTGGATCGGATACAAAAATTGCTTCATCAAGATTAGTAAATTCAGTCATACCACACCCAGTGGTAAAGATGTAGGCACTCTGATTATAACCACCACTCTTTGACTGACTCTCTTGTTCATTTTCAATGCCAGAGAACACGTAGCCACCAGTGAGGTCTGGGATTTTGCTGCCGTCTTGGTCTTCAACCTCTCCCCTTGCCCCCTTTTCCCCTCTCTCCCCTTCGTCCTCCATTTCCTCCCACTTTGCCGCTGACTGGAAAACAAAGGGCCCGCAGACCCCAAAGCTGTCTTCTACATACCCCGAGGAAAGTGTCTTGCATGTTTGAGACAAAAACAACCGTTTTGAGGAAGATGAAGAATTTTCTGACGAGCACGAGTCGTTGTCGCCTTCCCCGACTGGACCTATTGCACTCACTGTATAGTTATCTGAAAAGTAAGTAAGTTCATTTTTGTGTGGCCGAGGAATGTTCCCTGCTCTACGTGGGTCGCTCAATGATTCCTCGTCGATGTAGGGGGAAGATTGTGAATCGTCGCTGCCTGACACACAGCTCGACAACTGGAAGTTGTCGCTATCTAGTGGTTTATCCGCCAACGAAACTTTCTTGTCCTTCAAAACGACACGGTCTTGTGATGAATCGGGAGTGTTTTCCCTAATGACAGGGTCAGTCTCATTCTCATCAACAGGCACGCTCTCCAGCAGTGCGTCAAATGGTTCGGGGGGATGAGTAGGTGACGCTGTGTACAGCTGTTCGTACTCGCTGTGAATCGACATGATAGACTGTCCCCTCAATTTGGGACTGTAGAATGGGTCTAATTCCTGATAAAGGGCAGACGAGACAATGAAAGCGGGCCAATGATCTGTCAACGATACTAAACACATCAATTGAAGGGGTCAGAGCCAGAGTGAGCCAACTCTCAATATACAACTCTTGCTGGTTTGCTCTATAAGGACATTTAGAACATATTCGAAGCAAGAGTTGTATATTGAGGGTTGGCTCACTCTGACTTCAACTAAGCCTTGTATCTACTGTGAAAAGGACGTTGCATGCACAAAAGGTAGGCTTGCCTTTCATAATTTTAGCACTGCCAACAATAGTGAATCTAGCAACACAAAATGGACGCTCATGCAAGATCGATTTCATGGACAGAGTAACAAAAACCTTGGTATCTTTTTCAGCGGCTTAACAACACATGGTTGTTGACCTACCTTCACTGTTATCTCATCAAATGTAATAGCTTTTGGTCTAGAGAACATAAAAAGTGTACATTACTTCTCTTTAAACAATCATCAAAGACATACCGAAGTATCCTTAGACATAGCAGAACGAGCAGTAATATCACAATCAGTGTCAAGACTAGTGCAGAGACAGCTAGTGTCACTACCATGGCCAGATCTGTTGGTGTTTAGACAGAGAGAAGAGAATATTCATATGTACTGCAGTGATTGAAATTTAACCTGTGCTAAGTATTGAAAAGCAAGTAGCTATTAATTCAAATTTGTAACGAATGCTTAATATTTACATTTTAGTTCCGTCAAGTTAGTAAATGACTGCAATTTTAGTGAAAAATAAGCGGCTTTATATCACAGTATGGTGACAGTCCCGTAAAAATATCAGCTAGCTACTACATAAATTAATAGTGCATGCTTCTACAATAACACTCATTGCCTGAACACAAAATGGATCAAGCAGATTCTTTGATTAAAGGAACATGTACCTGTACAGTTGTATCCATCTCCAGTGAATCCTGACTTGCACCCACAGCTGTAGCTCCCCTCAGTATTGAGACATTCAGCATTCTCACCACATGTCTCATTCTCACACTCATTGATATCTGCAGTATTGCCAGCAATAATTACTAGAAGCTCTGGACTAATTTTTGCTAACCTGTACAGTTGTATCCATCTCCAGTGAATCCTGACTTGCACCCACAGCTGTAGCTCCCCTCAGTATTGAGACATTCGGCATTCTCACCACATGTCACATTCTCACACTCATTTATGTCTGCAGTTGAAGATTACTCAACAGAGGAGTATCATAATCTTCCTTTGCACCACTACCTGTACAGTTGTATCCATCTCCCTGGAATCCTGGCAGACACTGACACCAGTAACTACCATCACTATCAACACAGTCTGCATTATCATCACATGCATTGCTTCCCTCACACTCATTGACATCTGTCATGATTACAAGTGAAATCACAGCATGACTGTATTATCAGAGCAGCAGTAGATAGTCTATGAAGGAAGTGATCTGTATACCTACTCATAATTCTCAGCTAAGCCCTAAAACCCTACTAGCTACCAACTATTCACTGGCCTATCTAAATCCAGTGTGACTCATGAAGCCGAGTAGATAATAATATTATGTCACCTCAAGTGCAAGGATATACATTCAGAATGACCATTCCTATCCAAACTGTTGATGTAAAGATGGGGTCATTTAATGACTTTCTGTCTCTGTGTACATATCTCCTTGCTTCCCTTCTTTTCCATGATGTAAGAGGCGTTTGTATGATCATAACTTTTACCCTCCCACTTTTTCTTCCTACCACATACTTGAACAGTTGTATCCATCTCCAACGAATCCAGAGTCACAGTGACAGCTGTAGGTCCCAACAGTATTGTCACACGTCGCGTTCTGACCACACGTCACATTCAGACACTCATCAATATCTGCAGTTGGCAAGAGTATTGGATAGAGCTGAAACATGTATAATTATGTCAAACTTACCTGTACAGTTGTATCCATCTCCACTGGAATCCTGACTTGCACCCACAGCTGTAGCTCCCCTCAGTATTGAGACATTCAGCATTCTCACCACATGTCACATTCTCACACTCATTGATATCTGCATATGCAAGAAGTGATGGTCAATAAGGGAGGATATCAAATGTTACAGTTAACCTGCACAACTGTAGCCATCTCCCTGGAATCCCGACTTGCACCAGCACAAGTAACTACCATCAGTATCATTGCAGGCTGCATTATCATCACATGCATTGCTCCCAACACATTCATTGATATCTGCAACAGAAACAAGTTGGTATGGCAATAATATCAGGCGAAATGTTAAAAGGTGCAGGGAGACAACGCAAGTAGTACTGCATGCAGAAATGGGAAGACGAACTGCAGACAGCCAACCTATGAAGCAGTTCATGTCAAAGTGGATTCGTAATCTAAAGGTTGGTGTACAGGCGAAGACATCACCTGACCTAAAGTCAGAATGCTAATTTCTTCTTGGTAACATTCCCTTTACTTAAACCACACCAGAGCTAGTGACAATAGAATGATCACACTGAAGTGAAAAAATTCCTCAAGCATAATAATACACTGTGATAAAATTCACCATGCTGCACCGTTGACTGTGTAAGTTGTCTCATGACACTTTTGGTCATAACTTTCCATTTTACTACACACCTGTACAATTGTATCCATCTCCAGTGAATCCTGACTTGCACTCACAGCTGTAGCTCCCCTCAGTATTGAGACATTCAGCATTCTCACCACATGTCACATTATCGCACTCATTGATATCTGCAATAGTGTAAGCAATAATTATTAGGTGTGGTGTGAGTATATGTTCTGAACTAATTCAAAAACCAACGCTGCACGATGTAACTGTTTTGCGGGAGACTGACCTGTACAGTTGTATCCATCTCCCTGGAATCCTGGCAGACACTGACACCAGTAACTACCATCACTATCAACACAGTCTGCATTATCATCACATGTACTGTTCCCAGCACACTCATTGATATCTGTTGTATGAAGTAATTTACATGCAGTTTTAACTATAGCAGATTGATAAGGTATTGCAAGCATCTTCCAACTAACTGGACAAACATGCAATGCCACTAATGCTACTATGGCCCTTGGACACACAGGCACCCATTCTTATAATACGCAGATTTCACGTTGTGCTGAGTCCTAACAACTTAGTCTCTAAAGTTATAATGGACATTTTAGCAGTAAAAGAAGATCTATCTGGCTAAAACCGACCATTTTCTCAGATCAAGTCACATATACTGCTCCTCAGTGACTTCAATACATTACAGCAGCTGTTCACCAAGGTCTTACATAGAAATGCTCAACATGGTCTAAACGGGAGAGCTATTCACCAGCACGTTGGAGATCAGAAAATGTATAAACAGACGGCTACTGTTGATGCAAGTTCATCAATTTGCAGATGCAACAAGCCTCGATAACCAAAGCATGCTCTATATCAAATTTGGTAGCTATACCATGAACCGACCAAGCTGCACTCTCTTACTTGCACATGCAGGTCCACTGTATCCCTCTGAACAAGAGCACTCTGTACACAGACCCTCCTCTACTCCCTGTGTGCCATTACTGAATGTACACACTCTGTCTATACTGCACTCTTCTCCCTCGCACCCTCCACCAACTGAAACACAGATCTTTTTTAGCATCACAAAATACAACAATCATAATTATGCACTTGCCTGTGCAGTTAGACAGTTTTCCGACGTTTTTAGTTTATCACCATCACACTATACGATAGATTAATTCAAATTTGCACCAAGTTCCATGGCTCAATTTTCGACCAATGGAAGCAATCCCAAAAGAGGGATCATCATTCCACAGTGGGTATATAGTACCAGTCCCATGGGCAAACATCTTCATCATCATCACCGTACTGTAGTGCATTAAAGGATGTTGGATAAATACGTAAACTATCACTGCATCAAAGGATGCTGGATTTTGTGGTTATGTGTAACTGCCAACACGGAACATTTGTGAGATTAATCATAAACTATAACCAAACCATTAGTTACTATATACATATTATAGTATCATGAAAATTGACTCTCTTCAGATGTGATTGCATACATTCTTTCATAATTCTAGAATTTTGGAGAGTATGTAGTATATAATTATTCAACATGCATGATTATTATGCACTACAGCATTGTGATGAGTATACTAACATCCTAACACTCACTCAACCATGATTACTCACATCTTTTGGTATCACCATGCTATCGTCTGTGTCATTATACATTCATAGCTAATGTAAAAGCTCTCCATGTGATTGTCCACGGTTCTGTTCCATCTGACTGCAGCCTCGTTGTGGGAGCACATGGCACACAGAGAAACATACTGACTGAGGTCACCTGAGGAATCTAAGAATTGAAAGAGCGTGCTAATTTTTTGCTAGTTTTCCGGTCAAATGAACCTTAGAATATAACAACGGGATAATGATAAAGGGAGATAAATGCATGTACAGCCACGTTATTATTTTCAAATTTGTTTGCAATGTAACTGTGCACACACACTTGGAGACAAAGGCAGAGTGACGCGCTGCCTGCAACGAAGTATGTGTCACAGTATTTATCCCCCGTATATTTTATCCGGGGTGTATATTTCTATCCGTGAGGATAGTATACTCTTAGTGTAGAATATCCGGGGTCCGGATATTTTATCCCTCTAATAAGAAAGTTTCTGCGCGTACAAACGCGCAGGAAAATCGTTGGCGCTGTCGCTGTTCGACACCGATCACTCGGGGAGGCGGGGCTCAGCGGGCCAAAGACAGCGAGCGCTATAAAGTATGGCTGGCTCGTGTCTGCCGAATGGAGTAAGGAGGAAGACGGCGAAAGACATTTGCGCATGGAGACGGTTGTGCGTACACTACATGGGTGTGGCAGATGGAATGCTCGCTTATATCGGGACAAACGAGGAATTCCAGCGCCGGCGGGCGGTATATACATCGGGTTAACGTAGTAATATATTATATCCATCGCCAGCGAGCGCTCGCGCCGAAATAACAGTGCTCACTAGTGGGTAGCGGGCAGTGGAGTCCATTCACCAGCGAAGGGGCCAGCAGGAGCAGTGCCACTGTGCCCAGAGCAAGGCCCAGACTGTTCAAGGTGTGCTGAGTCTCTTTCATCTGAGACTCTGGTGGTCGCGGCGGCGTCTCCTGTCGGTCTAGTCCTATATAGTTCGCGGACGCGGGACTACGCTCTCTTCGGCCTCTGCCCTTTTATACTTGCGCGGCCGCCGGCGGCGTCACGCGCGTAGGCGCCTATATACGCATGCGCACGGTCGGCTGCGCATTATTAATCAACTCAACATCTCAAGGGGTACAGTAAGTGGGTCCAAAGAAGCCCATTAGACTGGGGTCAAAGCAAGTCTTTATCCCCAATCCTAGGGAGAGGTAGCGCTGTCTCAGCAGTCTTGCGGCTGGCTTCGGTTGCCTCTGGCGAGTCAAGATACCTTTCTTGTTTCCATCCACTCTAGTTGTTGCTGCATACCATACACAAGATGATATTAAAGAAACTCCTCTCCATTCTCCTACAGTCCTACTTGAACTACGACTCCTATAACTAATGCCAGGAAGTTTGTTACATACCTATATATACACATAAGGCATGTTATCTGCTAGAGACTTGGGGTAATATAATATGTTCCTACAACTTTAGGTCAGCAACTCCCTCATAATGATAATACACCACGGTTGTGTAGTGAAGAAAGCTACCCGTGCCCATGTTTACGCACTCTATTAGCTTTATGTAAATACATAATATTATAGCCGCACACATGTTGCAAAAAAGAGCACACCACTTACCCTGGTCTGTCTGGAAGTCGGCGAAATTCCAGACCATCTCCCCGATGAGGAACGAGTCTCGGAATTGGTCAAAGACGGGCCAAGTATTCAACAAAACTTCCATCTGCCTCACCAGCACCAACACACAGTCACAGAAATCTCCAATCTTTTACATCTTACCTGATAATCTTCAGTGAACATAGTCGGAGGATCCTGTTAAATCATGTAAGGAAGATGCAAATTTCGAACACCCCAGAGACATTGCGTATAAATAGCCAAACACCGGCGTTTAAGAATTTCACACTTTTTAACGGTTTTACTGTCAGCAAGATGGACAGCGTCTTTGTCGCTACACTGTAAAAAATGATACTTGCCCGTGTACAGGTGTTTTGCCTTTTATACGCAAACTGCACGTTTGAGGTTAAAAAAGAGTTCAGAGGTTTCATTTTTAACTGGCTTTGTTAGCTAATCCTGATGGTGACAAAGAGGAAGAGAGATCAAAGCAGCTCACTCTATGTATGCCGGCCACAGTACCGGCTCCATACTCTGTCAGCATCATGGGCTTCCCGTGAGTCCTGAACCAGTCTTCCAGGTCAGTGGCCAGTCGTGTGGCAATGGTGTCCGTGTGGCCCGGATCGTAGTACCACGAGTAGTAGCGGTTGGTGGTTATCACATCCATGAACTGAGTCTGCAGGCAGCACATGCACATAAAATTTTTCCCGCGAGGTGTCTGGGCGATTCAAATTTCACCATTCGCATTGCATTCATTCTATTCAATTACTCTTATCGCGAGGTGACATCTGCTTTCACATAGACTCCATTTGCTTAGAGATGTGAACCAATATTTGCTGCATACCATACTACAAACCACATAATACCACTGTACTACTGCTTTAGTGGGAGGTACCCACCAGATGGGATTAACCAGGTAAGTGTGAAATGGGAGCCTACAAAAGTAAATGTGAGCCTAATAGCATAGAGTCACGGCCCCCACTTTTGTATGTGATCCACTAAAGTCTTTGTATATGCAGGGCTCATCAAACTTCCTAGCGATCTATGGTGGTGGAGAAGGGGGGGGCCTATCAGTCACTAGTTGCCACACAGAAACAAAACATGCAGCACAGGGTAGCAATTTGTATCATGTGTGCACCCAAATCAACTCAATTAATCACAGAGATTTGCTCCTTAATTATTAAACAACGTGTGATGCAGTACATTAGTAACAGACTCACACACAGGTCTTGGTCATATGGCATGTTGTCTGCGAACATGATGGGTCGTGTCGGGTCTAAAGTTCGCGTCCAGTTGGCCACTGCCCTGTAAGATGCACAGCAATAAACATACACTGTGTTTCAGGGCAAAATATTTCGCAATTTCAATGTTTGAGAGCCATCCACTAACATTGCATTTTGTCGAGAGATACAAAAAAATCTATCTGTGAAATGATGTTTCGTTCTCAAAATGTCTCTCCATAAAAACTGGAGAGACGAAGCAAATATATCTTTCTCTCTGTTTAAGATCACTTTAGTAGAGCCAATGTTGTCAGGTCGCTTGGCTTGTCCTTGCAAAAACCCCGGGGATATTGCTATATGGTATTCTTTGAACTGATGGAGAGCCCAAATACTAGAGCAGACCCTCCAAGATAGTAGTCACAAACTAGTCATAACCTGGACTAGACATTCCAGGACCCAGTATCCAGCATCCCAAATGGATGCCGAACATCGGGGACATCTGTCCGTCTAGACCTAGCATTGTTGATTGATTAGTTATTTGCTGTTTCAAGGCCCAAGAGGTTGGAGGAGTACACCTTGGGCAAAGTATTGTGTACATTTCATGTCCAGTGCATGTTGTACGGACAGAAAGCCAAGGGAGTGAGGTATCAGTCATGCGTGAGTTGACGATTCTCGAAATGAGCTGCATTTCGAGACAGTGTGAAGTGGGCAGTTTAGCAACGGACACCCAAAAGGCACGTATCATCGTCACTATTTCAAGGAAAGGTCAGCTACCGAGGGAGACAATATTATTGTGGAATGTGAATTACACCTAGAAACTCTTCCAATACCATGGAAACATATGCAGTGTAGATAGTACAATGTGAACAGTGTGCCTCAGGCTCCCTTGACACTAACTGACATTCCAGCACCATAGCTAGCAATACCGTCTGACTAGCAGGTAAGTTGTGAATATATGGAGGGTATATACAGACAGGTTCATGAATACAGACTCGGGCCACAATTCAATTATATACTCGAGATTCCCTCAACCCACTGCAGAAGATCCTAGCAATAGTCATCATAGAACTCGGCACTATCAAAGAAAATATGTATTGTCAGGAGACTATGGCCACGTGCATGCGTCAGTTGATGTGGCACGCGGTTGCCACACACACATGCACGAGAGCAGACGACGCATGTATCGCCAGAGCAGAATTGTAGGATGTTATAGTGACTTTCATTGTGGTGCCACCAATTTCCAATACGGCTGCTACTATATACATAAGTGGTTACCAAAGGACTGTATATAACTATTCCTCTCACGTGTCAACTCTCTGTTTCCGCGTTATGTTTGTGAGTGTGACAGTTAGTCTTGGCATTCTCGGAGACCGCATCCTCCATCCTGGCAGTGGGTGTGTTGAATATATGTTGCTATCCAATTCCTAGTCTTAAAGTTATTGCATGGGTGTCTATGCATCCCTATAATCACCAAAGTGTAAACAAGTGGACTAATTGAGGGAAATATTATATATATTCATGCAGCATGAGACGCTGCAGCCCTTTAGCATCCACTCCCGTATTTCGGTTCCAGTACCTCTCCCACTCGAAAAGACGGTGAAGACGTTGGAAGAGGTAGACAACAAAGTTGATGGTGCAGTCACTGGGGGGGGGGGCTCCAGGCAACGATGACATGATCACGGTTCCTGGAACCTAATTATCCTCAATTAGCAGATTAGTGTATACATATGCGCTCTCCTATATACAACATAATTTTCCCTCCAAGATGGCACACACATTCCATCTTGTCTTGTCTCGGGTGCCTGGGCACCAGTCAGGGACACTACTGCCCAGACAGTAGGACAGTACCTACCCCACATACAATTCAGTGTGGTAAAACACCCACATCAAACAGTATTTCCCACATACATTCCTCTGTCCCCTCGCTTATATGAAGGCTACACAAACACTAATCAGTAGAGTAGCACAAATGTGGGTCCAAACCTGTCCTGACCTGTCATATGAACTAAACACGGTAGTTACGGGTGACACAATATGCATGCACAGTAAAACGTTGGGTACAAACACACAAACACACACACACACATAAACCAAGTACTGTAACTGCTGCACATGTGTACCAAGGGCCTGCCAAAACCCTCAAACTATTGCATACTCCCTGTATATAATATAATGGCTAAATATTTACAATAGGGGCACATGCAATTGACTTCCATTTTTACTAAATTAGCCCTTATATCATACTGGCACATTCCCTTTAGCCGGTTTGCGCAGATAACGACTTTTGAGAATAGCCATTTTGTACGGGGAGTTTGCTGTAGACCACCTGCAAACGCCATCAGACACCCGAAACGAGGTGTCTATGAAAAATAAACCCCCCACAATTCTATAATCTGATTGGTCAATTGCGCATGACTGCGGTCTAAAACACGTATATACAATGACTTCGCTAATCAGCTCACTTGAAGTAAGGGACAGAGATGTTTAAGGCAGAATCTGGCTCATTGGCCAGAGACCACATGACTACTGAGGGTCTGTTCTTGTCTCTCTGGATCAGCTCGTGCATCACCTCCAGATGATGCTGTAGAGTCTTGTTGGCAAAGTTCTCCTCACTATACATATGACACACATGCATACTTTTCAAAATTGAACGACTTTTTAAAAATCTACAACTCATGCCAAACAGCTGCTTCTTTAATGGTCAATGGCCACAATGCTCACTGACCAATCTAACAACAGATCTCCCAATCTATGATAGATATATATATATATATATATATATGTATAATCTCTCATCTCTACAGAGTTTAACCTTTCATCAGGGTATGCACACATACATGCATAATTTTATAGCAGCTTTATTGGTTGAACGTGTTTTGCTTTGCACCACGCTCATGCTACATATTGTATTTTTTTGGTAAATTTAGTAGTTTTGCTGGCTAATAATCTATCTTTCGTCATTGGACATTGATAAAGAAATGTATATACTAGCTATGTCGGTATATAGAAGGACATCAGCCTAATGAGACCAGTAGTCTAATGAGACCAGTAGTCTAACCGCATTGTAGCAACAGTCAATAATGTATGTTTGTAGACATTATTGCCTCCATCTGTAAGCATATGCCCGAGTTAACCTACGATTCATTTAAGGGGATATTGTGTGTAGCAATGCATACAGTTTTAATTAGCTCTTTTACACAATGGTGAACAAGCATGAGATAAATAATTGGCAAGCAAAGTATTCACCCTCAAAAATTTAATTTTCACATTCCAGCCATATAGGTCCCTTTCCCCGTGCCGCCCCCTCACATTATCATAAATGTGAATGTGCCACTGCACATACTGAAATGGTTTACTTGATACCAAATATGCATGCGGAAAATCGAACTATATACTAGCGTTGGCTCACCAAAAATGTGTTGCATTCGGTCTTATTATTCAGTAGAGCATGACTATAAATTTCTACATACAGTGTTTGCAAGGCATGTCCACCGATGAGAAAACTGGTGTAATTCGGATATAGCTTGCTTGGTTACCATAGCCACTGTCAGAGGCTAGCCCGAATTCATCAGTTGCAACTATGGCAGGCTACTACATATGCATACACATTGGTGAAGTCTGATATAAATTTGCAGGTTCCCTCACTAGTGGAGTCCGACTGCAGGTGACTCGTCGATGACAACAATGCCGTGCTGGTCGCAGAGGTCCATCAGCTCCTCAGAGTATGGATAGTGACTGGTCCTGAAGGAGTTGGCACCCAGCCACTTTATGAGGTTGATGTCCTTCATCAGGAGAGGGTAGTCTAGCCCCTTCCCACGGATCTGGACACACACGCAGTGCTATAATTATGGTGCGTGGTTTGCGTCGCTCACAAATAACTCAGTCCATATTACTACCGGTACATGTTGGATTGTTTGCGTTACTTTCATGCGTAACTTATCATTGATGCATTTTGTGCACCGTTGCAAACCTTGAAAAATGCTGCTGTGACTTGCAAATAGCACCAAGGACGCTACTATAGGGCTTCCTAAGCTGATTTCCGTGACTTTGCAATCCACACTGAGCACATGTCAACTACGAGGTAGAAAGGCAGACAGTCACTGCACCATGGACAGCTTTTGCCCTAGGTAGGATTCCAACCAACAACTCTGCAGTCTAGGCGAGTGCTCTACCAACTGACCTACCGGGGCAACTCAGCTGGTTGGGGTTCGAATCTTCAACACAAAGGCAAACCTCAAACCACCCCGCTATATGGCACAGTATATATATACTCTCACTCAGTATGTGATTGCATGATGCATGTACATTCTGAGGGGATGCCTAAGGAACGACTCACATCAGCATCCTCGTGTTTCCCAAAACCCAGGAAGTAGAAAGGTTTGCCGTTGATGAGGAACTGGGTGCCCTTCACCTCCACAGTCCTGAGACCAACTGGTATTCGATAGCAGTCTGACACCTTCTCAGAGGAGGTGGTGGCATTGATCTGGGTGAAAATAGCAAAGCAACCCTTATTGCTTTGAGCTACCGTAACTGAAAGATCATGATTTGCAGGGTTTTCACTACACAGACACCAAACGTCATGTTCAGCACTTCAAACAGCAATTGCCAAATCCAATTATCGCCAATTTTCCAGATGAGAGTGTTTCTATAGGTTAATACATTCTTGGTCTTCTCAAGCCAACGTACACTCAAAGAGCATAGAATGTACATGAAGCCCCCACCTCAAGTTGGTAGAGGTATCCAGGGTCATTCGGCTCCATGGTCCAGGGCCACCAGAGTCTAGGATTGTTCACCAGCAGTTGGCCATTACCAGTCAGGACACACGGTGACTTCTGGCAGCCAGGGAGCTGGAGAGAGGCCGAGACCACTGAACCTCCCGCCTTCTCCCTCAGGATAATCTGGAGCTCCACAGGCCCCGAGTCAGAGACAAAGACGTCCACCACGTAGGACAGGTCGACACTTCCGTTGGCCAGCAGGGAGGTCACCAACGTCACGTCGTCAACATGAACTGACAGGGGAGTGGTGTATAGCTTCACTGGTCGGTGCAGACCTGCAGCAGACAACAGAACCAGTTAATACACCAAGTATACTGCATAACAGCAAACGTTTGAGAGAGAAACTCACGAATTTTCATGTAATAATAAATGGGCAAAACCTTATGATGTTGTGACAATGAATTGTCCCCCCCCCTCCTGCATATTGATACTAAATGTTTAAAGACCTGCATAATTGTAAAAGTCAAACTGCAGTTTCTGCACAAAGTATCCGGAGGGGTAGTTGGGAGGTGAGCCAAAGGAGAGGGTGCCGGGGGGGAGGGTGTGAGGGGTGAGTGTGTTGTTGATGGCCACAGTGATCCTGTTTGGAGCCCCAGTCTTGACCAGGTCTGTGATGTTGGCCTGGAATGGCAGGTGGCCTCCACTGTGACTCACCACCTCCACTCCATTCACCCACTGCATACAGATTCCAGAATCAAGCACTCTCCATGCATACACGGTGTTCATATGTGGCAAGAATTGCACAGAAAAATAAGAACTTGTCACAGATTTTCTATTAAACCTCCATTATGACATGCTACTCTATGTTGAGAAAAGGTTTATTGCTCCCGCTAGATAAGACGTACAGCAATACAGTTGTAGTGAGCACTCTCAAATCGCAGTGTGATGCAGTTCTGGCCTCTTCCCCAGGAAGCTGGGACCCACGCCTCACGGTCGTACCACACCCAGCCCACAAACTCCCTCAGCGACCTGTTCTGTGTGATCTCATTGAAACTGGAGGGCACCGGCATATAGATCACCTCTCCTGTCTGCACACACACACACACACCAAAGCAGCATGCAAGGAGAAACTTGCATACTTGGAGCACCACATAGAAGGTAACTACAGACTACACACACTGGCATAACATAGCTAAGGAACGCCTGTTTTAGTCCTCCAGTTCTCACGGACCTGAGACAGGGGTGACTTGAACCACTGCTCTTCAAAACCAGCGATCCTGTTTGAGGAGTAGTCGGCCCTAAAGTTCCACAGGCCGTCCAGCAACCTAACGTCTCTGCTCTCCGACTCTCTGGGGTACAGCAGGCTCCTGCAGCCCCCAAGCAGGGCTAGCAACACCGCCACACTCCACAACGAGACTTGCATCGTCTCAGCAGCGCTGCAGCGTATGCGCATGCGCGGGAGAGGAGTGGCTTGTGCGTGTGGTGCATGCTGTTGCGATCGGTTGCGATGTTGGGACTACTGATCTTCCGTCTGATCGCTGCAGTCGTGTGCCTGGGGACGGCTAGAGGCCTCCTGTACCCTCGCGAGTCGGAGAGCAGGGAGGTGAAGGTGCTGGACGGGCTCTGGCAGTTCAGAGCCGACTTTTCGCCTAGCAGGGACGAGGGCTTCGTGAATCAATGGTACAGCCAGCCCCTTGCAACGGTACGTAACCCATCTGTGCACATTGCAACTAAGCTAAACAAACGGGGCTCTATTTTGTGTCATTGCTGCTGTAGACGGGGGAGGTGATGCCGATGCCGGTGCCGTCTAGTTGGAACGACATCACCCAGAACGCCAGCATAAAGGAGTACATTGGCTGGGTGTGGTATGAGAGAGAGGCGTGGGTGCCTGCTCTCTGGACTGGTCTGGAGATCGTGCTGAGGTTTGAGAGCGCCCACTACAACGCCATTGCTGTAAGAAGACTGTACTTATCTACGTGAAGTGTGCACAGGACTAATTCTTGCAGTGGGTGAATGGAGTGGAGGTGGTGAGTCACAGTGGAGGCCACCTGCCATTCCAGGCCAACATCACAGACCTGGTCAAGATGGGGGCTCCCAACAGGATCACTGTGGCCATCAACAACACACTCACCCCTCACACCCTCCCCCCCGGCACCCTCACCCACGGTGGACCTCCAGAGCTCCCCGAGGGATTCGTTTCACTCAACTATCAGTTTGATTTCTACAACTACGCTGGTGAGTGCATGGGAGTGTATCAGTCTTTGTGTTGGACCCTTAATCAGCCACTCGTGCATTTCCTCAACTATCCACAACATCATCACTGTATCTTACTTTTTTTCACTCTATTATTTGGAAGGATCCCTGACACGCATCTAGTCAACTCATTTGCTGTGATTCAATATACTATCGAAAAGCATTCAATGAACCTGTCGTTCAACACATATTTTCCATGTGTCTATGTAGGGTGGAGAGGAATGAACCCCATTTCATGTGCTTGCTCTCCGCGTTTTGACGTTCATTCAAAGTTCACTAATATTTCTTTTGCCGTGCTGCTGCAGGTCTGCACCGACCAGTGAAGCTATACACGACTCCCCTGTCAGTTCATGTTGACGATGTGACGTTGGTGACCTCCCTGCTGGCCAACGGAAGTGTCGACCTGTCCTACACGGTGGACGTCTTTGTCTCTGACTCGGGGCCTGTGGAGCTCCAGATTATCCTGAGGGAGAAGGAGGGAGGTTCGGCGGTCTCGGCCTCTCTCCAGCTCCCTGGCTGCCAGAAGTCACCGTGTGTCCTGACCGGGAATGGCCAACTGCTGGTGAACAATCCTAGACTCTGGTGGCCCTGGACCATGGAGCCGAATGACCCTGGATACCTCTACCAACTTGAGGTGGGGGCTTCATGTACTGTTTGGGTACTTTACTACGTATGTTGGTTTAACAAAGAGAATGGCTATACCCCTGTGAAACGACTAAGGAAGGATCAACTCTCGGTAGTGATTTTTTGGTTTTTACATATGGACCAAATGACACCGGTTACCCCTGCCAACTTGAGTTCTGCATGATTTCCCCATGCCACTGGTTTTTGTGTTTGGATAGCCGATCACGATGTAAACAGAAAACTATTACTTTTTTCTCGAGTGTGTGCCAGTCTAAGGAAGTATGATAGCATGTATTGCACCTACTTCCCTCTACCAGATGGTAGCTACGACGTCGGCCAAAGTGTCGGACTACTACAGAATGCCCGTTGGTCTGAGGACCGTCAGTCTCGGCACTCCGCAGCTCAACATCAACGGGAAGCCTTTCTACTTTCACGGAGTTGACAAACACGAGGATGCTGATGTACGTACGTAAAGCCAATTAACACATCACTTGAGATACATGGGCCAAAGTAAAAATATAAGGCATATACACTAACTAAAGTGTGGAGCGAGATAGAGGAAAGAGAAAAGGTGGGAATGAGACAGGGGGACAAAAGTTGAGAACGGAATGGCAAAAAAAGACAGTGTGGAAGGAAAGCAGGGAAAGAGAGACATGTGTAGTCCTTTTGTGTGGAGGGCTTGGTCTCATGGTCACTTCCACCAGGGGTCAGCTGGAGTGCTGCATGAAAGTCTTGTCAGGTATTACATATGCCTATTATAGAGGCTTTCATACGGTCTGGAAAAGGTTTTCATGTGTATTATGACACTATAGATCCGTGGCAAGGGTCTGGACTATCCACTGATGGTGAAGGACATGAACCTGTTCAGGTGGCTGGGGGTGAACGCATTTCGGACCAGCCACTACCCGTATGCAGAGGAGTTTATGGATCTCGCTGCCGAGTATGGCATTGCTGTCATTGACGAATCTCCGGCCGTCGGTCTCCAGTTAGTGAGAAATTTCTCTTTCTCACTCGCCTCTCTTTGCCTCTCCACGTCCTGTTCTCTTCCTTTGCTCTCTGCCCTTCCTCCCTGACTACTTTCTCGTCCCCCTGCCTCACCTTTTCTTATCCACCATCTGCTCCTCTCCTCATCTCACTTCCTAGTATTGTTGGAAATTTTTTGAGGAACTTGTGCAGTTTCAGAGCCATCCATGCATGAAAAAACACTGTGCGGGTATGTAGGACAATTTGTGCAGGGATACAGTTTTCACTCTAGTCTTCCTCTACTTTTGCCCTATACGTGACACATCAGTGGAGCCTTGTGCATAAATGCTCCAAAAGTGGCATAAATGCTCCAAAAGTGCGTAGAAGTCGGTTTCTCCAGGTCAGTGGTCGGGACGGGTTCTGCATGGTTCATCTGAAACTACTCCTCCATCACGCCGCGAAATACTTCAAATTCGCCTTTGGAACGTAAGGAGCGTTCAAGGGACAGACACCTCCTCACGGGTTGAGAGTGAGACTCCCCAAGTGGTTTTGCGTGTGGTTTCTTTGGAAGGGGAACGAGTATATATGTTCACATTCTCTATGCAATATTGCATACGCGTATTGGCACACCCAGGGGCCAGAACTTTGTGAACGAGACTCTACAGCATCATCTGGAGGTGATGCACGAGCTGATCCAGAGAGACAAGAACAGGGCCAACGTCATCATGTGGTCTCTGGCCAACGAACCGGCCTCCAACGACCCCAGATCCAAAGACTATTTCGAGTCGGTGGCCAAGTGGACTCGTATTCTGGACTCTACGCGACCAATCACATTTGTTACTGACCAGCACCCAGGAGACGACTACGCAGTGAGTTTTTGGCAATTTCAAACTCTTTTTCGAGACCAGCCACCAAGCCTTTTGCCAGCACCAACACACATTTGGCTAGCAGTTTGCTGTGTGTTTAGCATGGACCTGAGGGACTGTCAATGAAATCTGCACCAGTGGGGGATTCAACACTTCAGGTGGCTTGCAATGTTAACTGAGGGAACCCTGTAAATGTGTGGTACATAATGTACACTATTTTGTGTGGATGCTATATAGGAACATGTGAAAAATTATGTACCCTTTGGTGTAATATGAAACTTCAGAAAGTTAAAGTTTGCCTCTTGGTAATAAACATTATCTCCTAGCACAACATGTACTTCAGCAGTTGTTATACATAATATGTGTATACACGTTTGTTGTGGCGACAGGCCCAGTACATGGACACAATTGGAGTGAACTACTACTCCGGATGGTACACGTACCCCGGTTACCCCGACGCCATTCCCTACACACTCAGCACGTGGCTCGAGGAGTGGAACAAGTCGTTTGGTAAACCTTTCTTCATGTCCGAGTATGGTGCTGGAGCAGTCAGCGGGATGCACATGGTGAGTCTCTGTCTATCTATCCTTCCCTCCCTTTCTTCCTCTCTCTCTCTCTCTCTCTCTGTCTGTCTCTGTCATCACAGTCAAATAGTCAGTCTTGCTTTCATCTCTCTCTCTCTTCCTAGTGAAAGCTTTTAGCCCTGCCCTGGAAAACATTCTTTGGCTCACTATACCGTCCCTACATGTATATAGTACATACATACAAAGTCTTCACGGTATATACCTCACCTGTGCTCAGATTTAACTTGCATTTTTACACAGGACCCACCGACTCTGTACACCGAAGATTATCAGGTAATACTAAATTGTCAAGTGCCTGTGTTTAATGCTTTCTGGTGCAGTCTGCAGTGCTGACGAACACTTGGACGGTGTTTGACAAGTACAGGCAGTCGTTTCTAATGGGAGAGCTCCTCTGGAACTTCCAAGACTTTGAGTCCTATGAGAGTGGGTCTTGTAACGTTTCTTTTGCGGTGTATATAACTCCATAAGTTGGATAGCACACAGATGGAGTGAACAAGCGTAAATGCACCTCTATCGGGTGGGTTACACACTGGGGAACTGAAAAGATGTTCACCTCTTGCACCGACCATTGAAAGGGGTATAGCGCCATGAATGAATGATCACTGGTAAAATTGAATTGTGTGTAGGCCCCTTCCGTAATACACCTTGCCTCCACCCCCCTTTATTGATACCCCACCCTCCTATATACTCAGAGTCTGACAGGGTGAACGGGAACAAGAAGGGGGTCATGACTCGCCAGCGGCAGCCCAAGGCAGCTGCTCGACTCCTGAGGCAGCGCTACCTCTCCCTGGCCCAGGGCTACGACACCCACACCTGCCCCAACGGCCTGCTGGACTACTCCCAGAAGATTGTCTATGTCAACTGACACCATTGATCAGCAGCACCTCTGTACATGTTCTATATGCCTTAATGCCAGCATTGGGCCTTTATACACTATCTGCTAGAATGATTTCAACACATTTTTGGCTAGCGAAGCGGTAGTTTGATTTTTGCGTGTATTTAGAAAATAAACATTACGGTATATAATGTGCTGTGTTGGTTGATGGCCTGTATCTTACACATGGAAATATCCCACATTCAGAAGACGAGGCACGCTCGCTTTGCTTTTGCTCGCAAATAACCTGAGCTCCGCAATAACTTGAAGTGTTTTCAGATACGAACAGGAATTTGTGCTCACATCGCAGACATGTAAAGCTACACTGTATGCGTTGCTAACTTTCGTTGGACAAAAGTTCGCCCACTTTCTCACAGGAACTCGGCAAAGAGGTGCTTGTTTCTTTCGCTCTCCAGCAGAGCTCTGCCCAGTCGCTGGCAGGTGCTGCGGGGCCCTGCCTCCATTGAGAACCTCTTGAGCATCTGGAAACACTGCTCCCGGATGTCGTTCTGGTTCTCGAGAGAGATGCGGTCGAGGTCGTGCTCTTTCACGTCGAGGTAGCGGCCGAGGAACTTCCACTGGACCACGCGCTCGCTGAGCCAGAGGAGGAGTGGTGTTGGGGGAGGGGTGAGGGGGAGGAGGGAGGCGGGGTCTGGGTCGTCAGTAATGGGCGTGGGGAAGGAGGTGGAGGTACAAGGTGGGGGAGGAACGGTGGATGGAGTGCCTCCATAGTTTGTAGCAACGTAGTGTATCTGTGGAGAAAGGTTGCAATGTACTATATACCGGTTTTTTTGACGAAAAAAGCACCACTCCACTACACTCGTTCTAGGAACAAACCCCCCACTCAAATCTGCCTCAAAAATTTGTTTTTTCATTTCAAAAGTGCTCTTTACACTTTGCTCTCGTGCCACTACAGCGAAACCTCCGAACAAGGGACACTATGGGGCACACCATATTATTGTCCCTCGTATGTATAGAGAGAGGTCGTCCCTACCTCTGAGGTCTAATAGTAGTACACAGGTTCCACTGTAAGTCTACACTTGGGTGAACTTCACTGTTCTCACTCACCGCCAGCATTAAATCAATACCTGAGCGTGTGGAGGATGGGTGTCCTCTGTACTGGGGAGAGCTGCAGTGAGGCTGGGTGTGGCAGTGGCAGTCTCATTCCTCATTACCCCACATCCTCCAGTCACACTCCCTCCAGTCACACTCCCACCACCTGCCAACCAACAACAATGAACACCATTATAATGAAAAGCACTAAAGTGCAAACCCTGGGCAAAAACTGCACATGCGTGGTACTAATTGATGGGCTGGGCTCTTATATAGTAGTATGCGTTTACTCGTGGTCTCCCGCTAGTAGCTCGCGGAGAGTCTGACACGGGCCAGCTACAGCAGTAGATACCATGCAGGAATCGATACACGACCTTCGTTGTGACTTCTTGTGCCTTCAAAGCAAGCGGACCCGATCTAGGTAAGCCTGTGCTAATTAGCATATTGGCTTTACAGTTACAAGGTGTATATGTAGCTAATTAAAGTGCACACTACCTATTTTACGTTCAGCCTGGGTCTTTGCTGGATCGAAGTATCTACTGTCGTACTTCATCAGCATTTTGCACCTGTACCACATGAACCATCTCTTATACCCACTGTACATAGGTGCCATGCAGCCCTATATATGATACCTGTGGTCTGTGATGTGTTGTAGGACGGAGGAGAGTCAAAGTGATTCCTGTGCCCTTCGAGAGGGACCTTGGCCCAGGCCTCCTCCCAGCTGGACCTCTGCAGGCTCCCTCCACCCACTCTAGACTGTACCGTGACATACCCAGGTCGAGGCATGTGGGCCTGGGCGAGGTACTTGGTCCGGTTCACTTCCTCTGTTAGGGGAAACGGCAAATGTTAATGAGGTTCCAATTAAACGGGCAGGAGCTCAGATATGAGGAGAGTGTGGTGTTCTCTATATATAGAAAGCCCAAAACAGTTATAATAGCTACAGAAGAAAACGTACCAACAGAAGATGAGGAGGTGAAAATGATGGGAGCCCCCCGCTGTGGAGCATCCAGCTCTCTCCTATTAATGCCCACCATTCGACACACCATCCGCTCAAAGTGCCCCGCCATGTCGTCATAGTCAAACAGTCTCGCCCTCGTCCCATACAACTCGTAGACGTGGCTCCCACGGAACAACAGCGGGACGCTCCTGTCGAAATTCCGCCACTCTGGCTCGAGAACGACCGGCACAAATTTCCCCACGCCACTCCTCATGCACCTCTCGCACTCGGAGTATATGGCAGAGCTGTAGACCTGAAACCGTGCGGCTTTTTGGTCCGCGATCGGCTCCCGTGGCTGACACGTCGAGAATAACTCTTTGAGAGCCGGCGAGCAGACGAGAACGACGTGATCGCAGAGCTCAATCTGTCGGATGTACCACTGGAGCAGGTTCATCGGTTCCTGGTCTCCGAGACTGAGGTCAGAGATCACGGCAAACCCGTGCCGGGTGAGGTCGTACTGTAGGAGAGTGACGAGGGAGAGGTTGTTCCTGACGCGGGTGAGGTCCGGAGCTCCGTAGGGGGAGGCGGGGTCTGGAAGGTAGCAGAGGAACACGTGATGCCCGCGACCGAGAGAGGAGAGGTTTGAGACGACGTCCTGTCTGGAGCTAAACTTGGTCTTTGTTGTGACGTGGTCTTTCATTACTGTGACAGATTGTTAATGGAAGTAAACACACATGCACAAGAAACCTTCGCAAAAAAATCTACATCACTGCCAGAGGAGTGCCTGACTTGGCCATACCACATTATACCAACTACATCAGTGTACCAACATGAGCTGGCCAAATAAAGGGAGTCTGCTGACCAAAACCGTACTATCATGTGTACATAGTACATATACATAGTGTGCATGAAATAACCTGGTTCAGGAGCACCAGTGTCCATGGGTGTGGTTTCCCCAGCAGGTATGGGCGTGGCTGGTTCGGGGGTCGCCCCTGTCGTTGCAGGTCTTGAAGAGTCAGAGACAGGAGTGGGTGCAGGGTACAGGCTGTGGCTGCTGGGATCAGCTGGATCATCTCGCCTCCTCTCCATGGGTCCCTTTGACTCCACCTCAGACCTCACAGGAACTGTGAAATAATGTCAGATGAGAAGACTCACACTGAGAAGATAGAGATGTACACTAAGCAACTGACCCAAGACAATGCGGTACTTGCTGCGTTTAGCTGGAGAAAAAGGATAACCACTTTGTATATATATGTACCATGTGCTGAGTAATAAATGTTGTATGTACCTCGTTCCTTGTCTTCAGTGGTCAAACGGGTTTCTATAAGAAATAGAGCATAACTGTATCATAATAGGAATGTATTATGATATAATATACTACCCTTCCTTGAGTCACCCATTCGCTTGTGTATGTCGACAGAGTGAAACGCTGCACTCTGCTCTATATGTTACTTTTCTCTCTTTCTAAGTTATAGGAGACGTGTGATAGTGAAGTACAATACATTATACTACCTTTCAGTAGGAGCTGGGAGTTGAGTCCAGAGTAGCTGATCGGTTGCTGGGCCTCCTCTGAACCGAATCTATACCTGGTCATGATGAAGGTCTCTCCCATGGCCTGCGTCAGGAGCTCCACAAACGACATCACCTTCCCAAACTGGTCCAACTTGCTGGCAAAGTTCCGCGTGAAGATGCTCCCGTCGTCACCGAGAGCCATGCTTGTCGTGTTGGCCGTGCAGGCGAAACAGACGATTGTGTCGTGGTACTTTGCAGCAAAATGCTCCCCGAGCGACTTGACCGCTTTGTTCTCACTGCTACTGCAGTCTGTGCTACCGCAGTCGGTGCGACAGCAGTCAAAGATGAGGATCTTTGGTTTTCCCCGCAAGTCCTCCAGAGCTAGGACTGAATCGACTACGTGTTTGTACGGGATGACTCCACCGTCTGGTTGAAAAAGCATCCCCTCGTGAGACCCGTGCCCAGAGAAGTAAAACAGAAAGCACGAGTATTGCTCCAGGTTAGCCTGTCCCAGTTCCCGGATCTTCTCTTCACAGCCTTGCTTTTCCGCGTTGCAACCGTAGGGCGAGTCTACATGCCAGCCACCGTCTCTCAGAACCGCTTGCACGACGGCGAGGTCTGTCTCCACGCATTTCAGCCGGCCCTCACGGGTGCTGTAGCGACTGCTGCCCAGCAGGAGGGCGTAGCCGAGGGGAGGGGTGATGAGGTAGCGCATGATGTGGCCCCTTTTTGCTGGGTCGAAGTATCTCCTGTCGTCGTTCATCAGGTGGCCCAGTGTGCAGTAGTCGTCCCTGGAGACCAGAAAACGCCCGTCGGTTTCAACAACTGCCATAATCCTCTCTCTAAATCCCAGAGCAGCCGGGTTACACACACGTCAAAAAACTGAAGCCTCAGCAGTGTGCATCAATTAGAAAAACTGCTGACGCAGCAATGCGATTCTGAACCTTGAACTCTAAACGTGCAGCGGTGCTGCTATGGGGGGACTGAAGGAGACTGTATACAACGACAGCGCCATCAAACGCAATGCAGCCATAGTGGACTACTGTCGCACCTCTGGGGCGGTCATAGGAGGAGCCACTGCCGGTGTCCTGGGGTTAACCGGACTCTACGGCTTTCTCTTCTACTTCGCCTACTCTGTTTTCCTATCTGTGATGTTGGCCGTGAAGGCTGGTCGAAATTCTACGAAGTATTTCCAGTCCAGCTCTTCCGTCTGGTTTAATGGAGTGCTGGGTGGATTATTCACTTACGTCCTGCTGTGGACATTTCTCTACGGAATGGTGCATGTCTACTGATAGCTATACTGTATGTCATCATTTATTCTTCTTCAAAATCATTAATCAAGAGAGACTGGCATCATTATTCATCTGAAATCGCACCCTCTTTTTCTAGCCAGTTCATGACCTCTCTGGCTACCTTGGGGCTCCTGAAGTGAGCTAACTCCATTAGCTCTGAGCAAGAGAGGTTTCCACTTTTCTTGTCCTGTCCACGAGGTCTTGGTTTATGAAGTCCATGCGTGTTTATTAGAGGCAGTGAGGTTTGAGTTGATGAGGCAGCTTTCTTCTGATTTCTAAGACAAAAGGAGAAATTTACCTGTCATTCATGTGTGCTTTCTTTGCTAAGTGTACGAGACACCTCTGTGTAAAGGGCACTATTCATGCTCCCAGTGTGCACTTTATTATTAGTGGCCGCTGTTGAGTGCTTTAGTTACACCCACATCATATGCACCAACCGAGAGTACGTATTAGTCAGAAAGCCCTGCCAGACAAAATCTTATGTCCACACACCTTAATGTTGAGCTGATGCAAGGGAGGTGAAGTGAAGAGCCAACAGCTGGGCTGTGAGAGGTGACAGGGACCCGGGCCTCCCTCTCACTGGCTCTGAGTCTTGATCCAGTCTCTGCCAATCCCTCGTCTGCTGGCCTCCAGTTGATCCACCAACTTCTGCAGTTCTTTGTTGTGCTTGTGAAATTTATCTTGCAGCCCAAAAACTCTCCTGTGCTATAACGTAAGTGTGAATAAAAGAAGGACTATTATAAAGTGATGGTCTTACCCAGGACCTGGAAATATCTTTTGTTGCATGATGAAAGGGAAACAGTTGACATACAAAGTGTGAATATTTTAGCTTACCTGATTTAGCTGTTTTCTTGTATAACTCCTTGGAATTGTACTGGTCTGCAGCGAGCTCTATAAAGGGAAAGTGGTACTTGCACTGGGCCCTTACCTATTGTCTAATTCAAACATTTCTAAATTTAGCCCTTTACATATTTATGCCAAGGATCAGCCACGCACTCTCTGAACCAGTGCCATTCCCTAAAATAGCTGCATACCTGCTTTTGTGATCTTGTAGGCTTCCTCGAGTCTCCTGAGGTCTCTCTGCTGCTGTAAAAGAGCCTTTTCCAGTCTTGAGTGATCTTTCCGTGTCTGCATCAGAGCTAGTCTGTGCTGGCCTGGGGGCATACGATGATCACATTGTGCATTGCACTAACTTCACTTTTAGCATACCTTCCCTTAGGCCCACTGTATATGTTTTCTGTTTCTGGTGATATAAAGTGTCCTCCTTAATGAATGCATCTTTCCTTTCCTCCAAGAGTTTCTGCAGCACCATCATCGATATAGCTAGCTATTATGCATGTACTGCCTAAGATTCTGAAATACCTGTTGTGCCACAATTTGTGAGAAAGCTGCCTCGATCGTTTGCTGCATGTCCAGTTGATCCTTAGCAAACTGTTTCTGGTTCCTAGTTAGGACTGCAGCAGTGTGCTTTAGCGACATGGCATGCTCCTCTATAATCTTGGCCTGACACGCCAGAGCCTCCAGTACAGTCTCTTCCACGGTCATTTCTGTTGCTGATGTCACAACAATCCCACTGCTACCTCCCTGCTGCGTCTGGAACTCGTTTACTGCGGCTGAAGCACGGGAAAGAGGAGAGGCATCGATTCCGCAGGAGACCAGCGAGTGCAATGCCCGTTGCAGAGCTGTGGAAAGCCGCTGGAGGGAATGTGGGTGGGGCTGGGACCGTCGAGTCCCCGCGACCGGTTCCGCAGGAGTTGAACTGTCCTTCTTCCGAAGAGTACTTCTTCTTGGGGAGCCTCTTAGAGGCGACGTACCGTGTTTATCCCCGTTCTGGGTGGCCGTTCGTTCGTCTTTCCCGGCTAGAACTACCTTCCTCCCAACCGGAAGAGCCGTGGGCGGCAAGCTGGCGAGGTAAGAGCCCCAGCTTGTGCCCAGGAGTTCTGGTGGGTACGTTAGCGATTCATCCAGATCGTCAGCACCCCCTTCCTTCCACCACGGGGTGTCTGCCAACCTCTCGTCTTCTCCCGCCATCCTACCTACTACATTGCACTGACACGCCAGCCTGAGACATACTTGACAAAATTCACAGCCCCCAAGGGTATGTTCAGAGTGGTTCAGTGAGTACAAGAGTTATTTTCAAAAAATTATGAAGACAATAGACGAATCGAACAATGATTTTAAAGTGGTGTTTTGGTGCAAGTATTACAACTGGAGCGTTAGATCACAATGGAGTGACTTCAAGATGATTTCAAGGAACTAACAAAAAGTTATTCTTTCAGACGGTGTCATCGGAGTGTTGGCCCCTAAGGGTGTAGAACCTGTTGAGCTCATTGATGGTCTCCCTAAGTGGTGTCAGGGCGGCCTGCATGTCACCGTACAACGTCTCGCTGCTCACACTTGCATCTTTCTTGAGTGCTGTCACAAAGTCCTTGTGATATGGCACGGCTCGTACTGCAACCTGATAAAAAAAACTTCACGTTACGAAGCTCTCGAGGTACCAATTCAACCTTCCCCAACACCAGCACATTATCAAGGCCGAAAAAAAATTGTGAATCACTACTTTTTCACCATTAATTAAAGGAAAATTTCAGGTACTTATATCTGCCACACCAAAGGTTCTTCAGTTACTTTGTGCCTTTGAAATTGGTGCAGTGTCTCTCTAAATGGTCCAATAAGTGTGTACCAAGGTTGATCAGAAGCGGTATATAGCTATATATATAGGCATACACTGAAGATGCCTTTGACAATCCAGCCATGGTACTTCCTGAGGGACTCGTCATAAGCCTTGTTGGCACACTTGACCAGATCCTCCTCCCCTCCCACCGCACTCTCCAGAAACACACAGATGAACTCCAGAGCCCTTGGTACATACATACATACACAAGGAGGACATAAACTATAGAAGCAATGCCCGATAACATGCGCCAGATAGTGGTTTTTACAGTGCAGCATTATACACTGTAGGTCTCAATCTACGTTCGGCAAGAACAGTCTTCATTACAGTGGGCATAGGGACAATAACACCGTTTCTGCAAAACTAGGTAATGTTGTACCTTTTGAGCCAGAGCAGTCCAACTGTGCATGACTTGCTGCCTTTGTTAGTACCGGCTGATATCTCTCATCTCAACTATATACTCTGGCAGATCGTGGCGCGTTGAAACCTTCGTCTGGTGTCCTCGCTCTTTCACGAGCGCTGTCGAACTGCGCAGCTTCTGTAGCCGCTAGAAGAAGATCTTCGATATCTCTTATCGCCATTTTCACACTTTAGCTCTCTACACATCAGTAATTATAGATGTTCCGAACCTGTATGTTTGTGCAGTTCGTAGTATCAGATTTTTCATCTAGGCATACCCAACGCATCGGCTGGATCGCAAGTACTCATCATTGAACTGAAAAATCATGTTTCTATTGTGACCATTTGGCCCGCGGGCATTTGTCGCCACCAGCTAGAACCAAGTACACAAGAAAGGCACTATCTCGCTGCGGCGTAGTAGGGATAGCAGTCTTGTGTGGGGATGTCGTCGCCGTCTGACAAGAGAGGAAGACTTGTGTACTTGGCACTCTGAAAACAGTGCTTCCTCTGCGTCTTGTTCCCTAATTTCTCGTGCGTGCCGACAAGTTAATTTCATTGTGCGCATCGCCGACGCGTACAAGCAAAGGTCGACAATAAGACGACACATGGGTGAGCAGGTGTCTAGCGGTTAGAGCTATGTGCTTCAGAATCCTCCCAGCTCACGGAGCAGGCAACGGACGTATGAAATGATAGAGAGAAGCTCAGAGCACTCCTATCTGTGCCAACTCTTTTCCGCTGCTGTAAAGCTGTGAAGGAATTCTGAAGCTGCATTGGACCTCAAAGCGCCAAACCCTGGTTCGAGGCAGTTTTTGCTGCTAGACAGACAGCTGCTGAAATCACTCACAAAACTCTGTAAAGGACTTCACTTTTTCCTGACGCTACAGATTACAGTCATTCTATTTCAACTGGTCACTGATTATGCCTCAAGCGTTTCCACCATTAAGCTTCTGGGTCTAGTGTAAACACAAACGGCACCCAGTGATCAATACACTCATCCATGACACCTATATTAAGACGGCTCGTCAAAGAAAAAAGAGCTGCCCACGGGCGGACTCCGACTATTACCCACTACCACTCCTGGTGCTCCTACACAAGTTGGTGCTGCTTTCCCACGGACCTACCCAGCGGCAGCTCAGTCGTCAAGGCTGGTGGCTGACTTAAGCTCCTGCAATATGACCACAACCCCCAAACCAAAGGCACATCAACCCCAAAACTCTGTTTACATATCGGCCATTCGGATACTCCCGTAACTGTTCATGACTGCAGTTTTTGACTATTTATTCAGTAGGGGTCTATCCTCAAGGCCTACTGCGGAGCTCAAGGTGGCGCTTACGGCGACACTGATCAGGCCAGGACTCGACGGTGTCGCGTGTGCGTGTCGGGATGTGAGCTGTTTCTCAGATTTACACCATGACCTCTCGGAGGGACAGAATGTAAGACTGGCTAACCGTTTGGGTTTGAATGAGGCTGGGGAGGAGGTATCTGAACACATCCCCCATTATCATTCCCACTATTCTGGGACATGAGTGGGAGGGACTAGCAGAAGGTGTCCTTATTAGTGAATTCCTCATTTCCAACAGCGTGTCCTTATTGAGAGGTGCCTCATTTCATGGGTGTCCTTATTAGAGAGGTGTCCTCATTCTCAGGTGTGTCCTATGAGAGAGGTCCTTCATTTCAGGTGTCCCTTATTAGAGAGATGTCCCTCATGTCCAGGGGTGTCCTTATTAGGGAGTTGTCCTTTATTAGAGAGGTGTGTGCCTCATTTTCATGGGACTCCATTATTAGAGAAGGTGTCCTCATAATATCCAGGTGTCCCTTGAGAAGGGGCATTCCAATGTAGATTCTAAACGATGTTGAAATGAAACTCACACAGGAGATGAGTCAGTGATGTCTCTTGATGCCACAGCAATCCATTTTCCTCGTGTTTTTTTCATTGGCCACTAAATGTATAGAGCAGCAGTGCCGTCGCACTGGGTTTTATAGTGGTTCGGCTGCTTTCGTTTCAGGATTTTCGAGCACTTGCTCCCTGAAGGAGAAACCTCATCAAAGAGGTTCTGTATGATCTGCTGCAGTTTATTGAAAATACGCCTCTGCGTGTGTGAGTCGAGCATGAGTTGTCATTGCGGCCTTTAGCTGTAAGCCAGATGACAGTGTATCCTGCAGAAAGTGTGCTGAACTCCTCTACAGAAGATTGCACACATATTTGCCAATTACCTTCTCATCTAGGGATCAAGATGGACAGTAAAAATAAGTATATACAACAGACGGTGTGTCCATAATATATATGTACCTAACCACCCACAGATAATAAATGCTAGTTTCTTGACTTGCCTTTCGTGTGTCTGCGTTGTCAGACCAATCTTGACTCCCACTCACACCTCCACGGGTCCGTCTAATGCCTTCTGAAAGAGGCCATGTCCAATGGAAAAAGGATTAAAGTATTGTCACTGCACTCCACCATAGACAACTCTGGTAAACAGCTGCACGCTAACCCTTCATTAGTTAGCTAACAAATATTGCTGTGTCCTTTGGCAGAGGAAGAGAGCACAGATACCGCAAGCATGCCTAAAGTTCCTTCCAAGTTCACCTGGACTCAGCAACTGGGTATAAGAGCAATCATAATCTATATATACAATTACATACATACAACTCCTCTCGCTACTGCACACACACAGGGCCCTGGGTATATACTGCCTGCACACTTGATCTAGAATACACACTCTCTCTCAGTTTCCTTGAAAGAAGCGGATCTGGTGATTGTTGGAGCGAGAGTGGAAAGAGTGGCGGGATCATTACAAGGTTGAACCCCCTTAATAACTCACCACTGAGATCTCTATAAGCGTTTTTATGTACGCCAATCGGCACCTACCAGATGCACGATGGCTAAGGCACTCAACAACCGTTTCTACGTATGGCCTGAAGAGCTTCAAGTTTTGTGGCGAATGTATCCTCTCAACCCAGGGACCTCCCCAACGATGAAAAGGTAATATATACATAGCAGTGGTTGGGAGGCAACTAGAAAAGATCATAACCTTATGTTAATGCAGCCACTTTGACCACTTAATAACCGTCTTAGTATAATTTAGTGCCTGGTTAGTGGCAGCATGCAAAAGTTGAAGTAGTGCCACTATTCTATGCTCAAACCAAACATAGATGTCTATTTTGTATGTGCAGTACACATCAGTCAACTCGTGAAGACTCCCCCCCAACATTGACACATACAGCCACCTCAGTACATCACCCTTCCTCTTCTCAACATCGAGTACTCACTCCGCTCCGTCAGTACAACTCATCAAACTCTATTAAGCCCACCACTTGTGTGTTGCATATCTCATGTTCTCTCTATCGTTATCAACTTATAATAGCATAACTATTCTCACAACGGCCAGATGTCTAGATTGGGATAGTAGTTAGCATAAACACAGTGATCACAGGCATCTGTGACCCTGCTCATTATCATACGTCCTGCATGCACTGCTGCCATCATGTTGTTAGCTAATATCATGTGGCAGCGCGCCATCGCATCGGTTTACGTAAACTTCAGTCATCGTCAGTGTGAAAACGGAATGAGCATGAAAACGAAAAGTGATATGCTGAAACATTAATCGAGCATAAAATTTCAGATTGTGTTCGCGATGATCAGCTATAATAGAGAACTACTACTTCGCCTTTGCGTGTACTAGATTTCTTCTTTCCTGGAACATTCCCTGCACAACCTGTTGTTCCTTTCCACTAGAGTCTTTCCACTCTGATTCTCTCTCTCCTTCTCTCCGTGTCTCGCTCTACCGATTCTGCGACTTTTCTTCTCGTGGCGTTTCTTGGAGGTTTATTGGAAGAAACAGTGCACGGTCTGTACTGCTGGTTTTTCCAGAGTGGGGCCCAGCGAATGGTCAGCACGAGGAAGAGGAAGATGTGGATAAAATACTCGGCGATGCAGGGAGGCAGATCTGGTCGTGGGATCCGAAACTGCATGTACATGAGGTAGGCAGAGGTGAGGCTGGCCACTGACGAGATGGAGGTGGCGACAAAGTAGGAGAATGTGACAGGGAGGCACCCTATATGGTGGACAAATAATGTGTTTAGATTTTAGGATGGTGAATTCTGCTGATTTTGGGTATTCAAAGGAAAACTAACAATTCAGTTGGACATGGCTTTTAGGCTTTTTCTTTGCTACAATGGGCTGAAGTGTGGGTAACATACAAAGCAGACGAGAACACACCGAGGAAGCAGAGGAGAGGGAAGAAGGCTATCCTCAGAGCCGGCTGACGAGGATTGAGCTTTCCATTGTAGGCCAAGCCCACTTGATGACACGCCCACTCAATCAGATCAACGAAGTCTCGACTGCGTATTATGCATAAAGAGAGTTATGTGTTATATACAACCTACGTGCCTTCTAGGTATCAAAACGTGAAACTTGGACTCAAAAACGTACTCTCTGCGACAATCTCAGAGCACGTGATCACTTCGTCAACGTCACACAGGGCCCTGTAGCCAGTGTCGTCTAGCCTAGAGCGCTGCACATGGACTGCATACAGAGTTAGCCCAGTCCCACACGCACACAGGAAGAAAACAGTGGCTGCAGACGAAAAAACGCCCATCTTTCTCTCCGGGTCCGGTCCACACACACGTGCGCAACCCTATCGCGCATGCGCTCAGGTTCTAGAGTGGGGGAAAAGCCAACAACCTGAAAGGGAAAAGTATACAGTGAGTAGGAAACTCGAAAGAAACGGCACGTCGCCCCACCGGTGAATTCGACCGCCGTGTGCTCGTGAAGGAAACAGATACCTTGTTGCTCTGAGCATTGGGCACAGGGTGAATGGCGTACAGGTGAGTTTACGTACGATGCTGTTCGGTTCCAGCCCCGCCTGGCGAAAGTGATTCGTAGCTTCACCGTGCTGTACGTCCCCCAGCTGGCTTCCTCTATTGTTTAGTTTACAGCAAGTAGATCATTATGTGCGGGGAGATCCGATTCGACAGTAATATTCTTTTGTATTAGACAAGACACGTCTCAGTATAGGCCTATAAATATGCTTTTGGTATTTGGGAGTGTCTAGCTATTAGAATTTTACATATTTGGTGTTTCCTTCATGTATTGTAGTGCGGCTGCAACAATGACTTTCCCATCCTCTTTCGTACACTCTGAACAGGAGGAGAATCCCTAGAACCAGTGACCCAGTCACCATTGGAAGGAGAACTTATGGCATCAGGTCAACCATTTACCGCAGGACATGAGCAAGGAAGAATTGAAGACACTCTTTCAGCGATTCGGAAGCATCGCCGACGTATCCCTCAAACCCGGGAGCGGTGAGTGTTACGCTTTTGTCAATTTCCACTCAAACTCGTGCGCCCACGAGGCAGTGAGCGAGATGAACGGGAAAGTGTTCCACAGGAAGCGAATCAACTGCAAGGTCCAAGTAGAAGAGATTAGGTCACCCTCTGTAGGGGAGTACACCGTTTAAAGTCACATCGTTTCAAAGAACACAACAGAAGCCACACTCGCAGAGGTATTTGGCTTTGGAAACCAAAACTGCATTCAGAGCGTTAAGATGGGTTTCCCTGTTCCACGGGCTTTGTTTACAACTACGCCTATGTGAACTACTTCTATGCACGTGACGCCGAAAAGAGCAGTAGCTGAATTAGACCAGTGTCTAGTTGATGGGTGTGCAGTCAGGGTCAAGCTACACACCGGTCAAGTTGGCTCTCCCTCGGCAGATGCTCCGATACACAGAGTAGCGAGTTACTCAGGTGGACATGCCCCTGCAGTTGTACCACAGCCTGGGAGCCCTTCACTGGCCACACAAAGGCACATGTCACGAGCATTTCACCAACCCGCGTTCGCGCGCTTGGTCAGCAGTCTTTGCCAGCACTCCGGGTCACCGACACGTGCCAATGTGCTTCCAAGAAATGTCTATCGCCACCAGGTACCGAGAGGTTGGGGATTAATGTACCTCCAGCATCACTGTTGTCACTCCACCTGTGATATCCCCCAGCGGTACTGTGTGTACCACCTCCCATGTTCAGTGGCTCCACCACCAACAGGGCCTCAGCAGCATTCCGACACACTGGCGCTTGCGGTCGAGCAGTCTTCTCCAGCCGTCTGGTCCAGCACTCTGGTCACCGACACGTGCCAGTGTACATCTCCAGAAATGTCTATCTGCCACCAGGTACCGAGAGGCCTCTAGCAGCAATTCCGACACACTGGGCCCTCACAGGTGCAATCGCCACGTCAGAGATCGTGAGTGCTCCACCGATGAGACAATCGTCTGATCAGTGCCCACCGTTCTCGCTCCGCCCCCTACCTCATCTGTTCAAGAGCTCTGAGCTACCCTGGAGTCAACCTTGGCTCCAGTTTTCCTCCACGGACTCACCTGCTGCAAACGGCAGTGAGCCTTCGTGATCAGCGATCCTCGCCGCTCGTAAGTGGTGCCCACAGCTAGGCAGCATCAAGTATGCAGCAGTCTTACACGATGAAAGGTGTCCATGTATGGCCGTTGAGCTCAGAAGAGCGTGTTGAAGAGGTTTCAGTCGATTTGGGGAGCAATTCAAGGCAAGCGATTATCCGCGAAGGGAACCCTGCTACGTTTCGCTGACTTTCTCCACACCAGACGGCAGGAGATGCATGTAGCCTCCACAACTCACGGTGAAAGGCATCAACATACACGTGAAGACCCACACCTCACAGAGACACGCAACCGGCGTCAACTCTAGAGCCAGGGAAGTTGGGTGCACGTCTCTCGCTGCCTCTATTCTGTCTCCCCAGCACAGGAAGAGCTGGAGAGGGTTGGGGGGGGGGGGGGGGGGGGGGGGGGGGGGGTGGGGGGGATGGGGGGGGGGGGGGGGGGGGGGGGGGGGGGGGGGGGGGGGGGGGGGTGGGGGGGGGGGGGGGGGGGGGGGGGGGGGGGGGGGGGGGGGGGGGGGGTGGGGTGGGGGGGGGGGGGGGGGTGGGGGGGGGGGGGGGGGGGGGGGGGGGGGGGGGGGGGGGGGGGGGGGGTTGGGGGGGGGGGGGGGGGGGGGGGGGGGGGGGGGGGGGGGGGAAGGGGGGGGGGGGGGGGGGAGGGGGGGGGGGGGGGGGGGGGGGGGGGGGGGGGGGGGGGGGGGGGGGGGGGTGGGGGGTGGGGGGGGGGGGGGGCGGGGGTTCTAATTGGTCGAGGAGGAGAGGAGAGAAGAGGAGGAAGAAACGGCTGTGTCTTCCGAAAGTACAGGGTACGTGAGGATCAACGACAACATAAAATTGTAATCAGCCAACTTTTGTTGCTGTCTCTGCATTGCTACAAAACCACGACGAAGATTTCGAGAAGGTCTTGTGTTGTGCAGACTGAAGTCCTGGATATCTACTTCCCTGGATACCACAGATAAAGGACTGTTGTGGCAAGAGTTGATATATAGTGCGCCGTTTATGTTGCCGTGTCGGCTGAACGCACTCGGTGATACGATGATTGTGTATACTTATTTGCGGGAAGAGAGATGAGATGCCTGTGATAATGGAACAGCCGTTCTACTGGAGCGAGCGCGCTCCTCTCGCCAGTACTACTCTGTCTCCTCCCTCTACTACGGGCCCTGGAAGGTAAAATATTAGTACACCTGCCAGTAGCATATGGAGCGTAGTAACTAATGAGTTTTTTTGTCTCCCAACTTGACAGGAGTAAGGAATGCACATACTCAAGTGATACATACCTCATTAGTGTGGTTCTGTGCGTACACGGCAGCTAAATGTACCATATGATATATGCGGAACGTCTGTAATTGAGATATCTAGTCTATCATATCTTCACAAAAAGCTGCAATGACATGTAGCCTATTCAGTTACCTGATAGCATTATGGTTGAAGAATGCATGAGATCGAATGACAACACCACATAACGTGTCTTACTACATTAACGTATGTGTATATATTGTACTTATGACTGGGTATATAGCTGGTTTGAATAAGAGTCCCAGAATGTGTCACTTTCAATGCGTTGGACACGCAATGCCATTCCTTCCCCTCACCCAACCTTGCTGAAGTAAGACGATTGTTTGTCATCTCTGTCACGTGTAATATACAGTGAAATAGTTGATGTTTCCCTGCGCCTGTCGTCTCTCACTTGGCCTCCTAACGACATCCCCTTCATTTCCCTCCCCTTCCTCCCTCTCACCAACTTACCTCTCACCATTAACCATCTCCTCATCCTCACCTCACATCTATGGAAGCCCCTCCCACCTTTCCCAATG